TTGAGCTGTTGTTCAGCATCTTAGCTGTAGAGGGCAGTGTCACTGGCCCTCATATGTGGGATCCGAACCGGGGCCCTCAGGCATACCAAGCCAGTTCTTAACCATCGCACCACTCGGCCGGCCCAAGCCCATTCACTTTCCAACAGACCTTGGGCACTGACTGCCCTGCTGAGACTGGAAGGGAGGGTGTGGGAGCTGGGTGAGACAGAGGTCCCCAGGGTGTCAGGAAGGGCCTCAGTGAGGGGCCCAGTGGCCTGGCTAGCACAGGTGGGGGTTGGAGCCCAGGGCAGTTGCAGGACCCTGCTGTGACAAGGCCAGGTTCTGGGTACACATGGAGTTTGGATTAGGAGGAAGAAAGGTGGCATCAGGGTCAGATCTGTGTGCAGGTGTGCAGACTGAGCTGGGGGCGGAAGTGGGGGCTCAGTGTTGGATGCCAGAGTATCTGAGATGCTGTAGGAGATGTCCAGATGGAGGAAAGGGGACTGGCCCTGGGCTTCCCTGAGCATTCAGGCATGTAAGAGTGCCGCACCCAGTGCCAGGGCCGCGCAGGACATGGGGCAGGAGCCAGCCTGGCCCAGGGCTTGTGGCATATGAGCCAGTGCCTCCTGAGGCAGTAGGACCGACCACCAATGCCCACTGTGGGGGTCCCTGTGGGGTCCCAGCCCAGGTTCAGACTGGCCTCAGTGTGAATGACCGTCCACCTCTGCCAGGTTCCCAGGGCAGCAGAGCTAGATCGTTCATGAAGGTCAAATTCTCATGCCAACGAGGATGGAATGAGGCCCTGACTGAGAGCAGTGTCTATGGAAACTAGTGTCAGAGGAACGGGGCTTCGGGGGGACAACACTGATTCCCCCCACTGCCAACAGTAGACACGGCTTTGGCCACATGGAGGTCAAAGGAGACCCTCACCAGGGCCCCTTCAGGGTAGAGGAATGGGACAGGGACCACTCGTGGGGAAAGTGACTGACCATCTGAGGTGGCAAGTTTGGGAGACCCAAGAAAGGGACAAGGTAGGGCAGGAGGCAGAGCATGTGGCAACAGCAACTTTCCCACTGTGGATTCTGAAACCTGGTGAGGCAGGAACACCCCCATTCTGTCAAGTTCTGCCCTTGCCTGCACGCCAGCATCCGTCGTTCACATGAGTGCTAAGGTGGTTTCACTCACCCGTCAAAGACTCCGGTTGGAATTCCGATTGGAGTTGCATTGCACTTACACACAGTTTAGGGGAAATGGGCATTTTTAGTGAACAGTGCAGGCCAGCCTCTCGCCTCCCTAGTCTCCCGTTCTGACCCTCCGGCAGCCTCAGTGAGCTCAGTGTCTTCTTGAAAGTTGTGTGGACAAACATATGCACATATGTGATGATGATTCACAGAGAAAACGGGGTGCCCCGGCCCCTCCCTCCGTAGCCCCCAGCACATGCAAACCTTGGTGGTTCTTGCGCTGTTTTTCCTGGAGTGATGTGCTTGCTGGCCTTGTGTCCTGTTGCAGACCCTCCTTGGCACTCGAGTTGTGAACTTTATTCCCCCATCAGGACAGCTCCTGGTGCCCCTTTTTCCCAGCAATTTGGGGTGACAGACAACTCACCTTAACTTGTCCTCACATGTCCCCAGAACCCATCTGCCCCCAGATCTCCCTGTCAGATGCTCTGACCAAATCCCCGGGTCACTGTGGACTGAAGCCACCAGAACCCAACCCCACCGCTGGCCACGGTGTCAGTGGTGTCAAGCCAAGCATGCAGGGCCTGGGGTGGGGTCCCCACAGGAGGGGCCTCAAGTAGAAACATTCATTCCCAGCCTCTCTTCATTAGGAGTGGTCTCTGGGGCTGCCTGGCACCCACACCAGACCTGGTAGCAGCTCTCACAGGTGCGAGCCGGGCACATGGTCCAGAGCCCTCGAGGCATAGCGTCCCCAGGCATCTCAGAGACCTGACCCTCCTGGGACCACGGCCAGAGCTCAGGAACTGCATGCTTATGTGGCTCCTGAACTGTGGGGTCGGAGTTCATGGGGGCAGGGCTCCCTGGAAGTCAGGGTCTGCCCCGGCAAGGCTGGCCTCCTCATGTGCTCTCTCCTCTTCCCTCAGCCCCACAGGCTTCTCCAATTCCCATCTTCCTCAGAGACCCCAAGGAATCAGGTGATGGCAGCAGCCAGGCTCCTGCCGCCTCCGGCGGGACCGCAGGTGAGCTGTCCTCAATTTCCTCTTGGTTCTCCCTGCCCGGGGCTCCTGGTGGCAGCCTGAGTATCAGTGCATCCCCTGAACTCTGTGGCTCCTTCCTGTCACGCAAGTGAGCTCTCGGTGTTCCCGTGGTGTCATGGGGCTTTCCCCCCATTTCAGAGTGTACCCCACACCCATCCTAGGACATGTCCCCCCCACCCCAAGTTGCTTGCACCCACTTCGCCTCAGACATGGAGAATCAGTCTGACCTGTGACCCTGTCATTCCAGGTCAAGGTGACCTTCGAGGACGTGGCCGTGTTCCTCTCTCAGGAGGAATGGGACCGCCTGTGCCCTGCTCAGCGGGGCCTCTACCGACATGTGATGATGGAGACATACGGGAACGTGGTTTCTCTGGGTACAGTCCCTCAGCAGGCCAGTCTGTGTCTGTGGGCTCGACCTGGGGTGGGTGTCAGGGTAGGGCCTGGGGTCTCCCCGGGTTCTCAGCTCCAGAGGAGGTCAGTCCTGTTTGTCTCACGCCTGCAGGCTGTTCAGGTGGGGTGCGGATGCTCCAGGTAAAAGGGTTTTTCTCCCCATGAGCAGGACTTCCAGGAACCAAGCCCAACGTGATTTCCCAGCTGGAGCGAGGAGAGGAGCCATGGGTCCTGGATGGGCAGGGAGCAGCGGAGAGCAGGGGACTGGGCAGTGGCCATTCAGGTGAGTGGGAGGAGCACTGCATGCTGAGCTGGCCCCAGTGGCTGTGAGCATCTCCTCACAAAGGAGCTGGGGGGCGGGCGGCGCAGAGAGGTGAGTGATGAGCGCATTCCCGTAGTGATGCTGCCTCTGCCAGGTTCCCGACCTTCCAGGACGTTCAGATTCTGAGGGTTACCTGGTGATGTAGAAAAGAACAAAGCATCCTACCTGTGAAGGGAAGCTGACCTGATAATTATGGTGAGGTCTGAAAGCACGCAGTTTGAGATGAACAGGGAGCCCACCATCCCTACGTCTGTAGATCGTTGTCCTGGGGGTGCCACACACTATATAAGGCAAGATAAACAAAAAACAACAAAACTAAAGCTATAAGAATCGGTAAAAATAGAAAAGCAGTTTGCAATTCATATGATTGTCTACTTGGAAAAAGGTTGATTAGCATTCACTAGTGTGGTTGTAAACATCAGTTTTCTTTCTGTTCGTCAGCAACAGAGGTGTGATTTTTTTCCCAGTATCACTGTGAATATTTAATAAACATACAGCACTGTGTACATTTCAGGGGTATAGCGTAACGATTTGACCTGCAGATACTGTGAAATGGCGACCTCAGTAAGTTTAATCAATTAACATCCACCGTCTTATAGAGAACCAACAAAGAGGAAAAGGAAAAAAATGGTTTTTAAAGGTGTGATTTTTAAAAAGATAACATTTACAACAGCAGCAGGGATACAGAGAACCCAGTAATCAATCTAACAAAACATGTGATTGGCTGTCATGGAGAAACTCGTGGAAGGGAAGATGACAGCAGGTATGCCTGACCATGATGGCAGCGTTCTGTAGTCGCCTGAGGTGGACATCTAGTGGAGGAAAGTGACAGCTGAGTCCTGGGAGAGCCACAGTCAGCCTGTCCTGTAGGACATGACCCCCTCAGGATGGGGACAGCTCCAGCATCTCAGGTGTAGTGCTTTCCACCTTGTTTCCCTGGACTGTGGACAGGGCTCTGGGTGCTAAAGACAACCTTCCCCTGATCGTCTACAAAACCAGGTATCCTCAGGGGCACTTGGGTTCCCAGGGAGTATAGAGGCAGATACAGCATCACATTGTGGAAATCTTGCTGAGAACTCTAAACCATGTGCTGGCTGCAGCGGAGTGGGCAGGAAAACACAGAGCCACCTGGCCCTCAGCTCCCTGGCAGCTGGCCGTGGTCTCAGCTGGTGGAGATCTTAGATCAGCGCCCTTCAAATTGGATGCCAGAGACTGAAATTCTCCGAGAGCATGGGGGGTTGGAGACGAGAAGTTTCTGCATAGAAATGCCCTCTCGTGTGTCTGCTGAGCAGGCAGTGCCGGCGGAGAGGACACTGCATGGTGGTCTGGCAACAGGGACAAGGGCTTGAACACTGGTGTAGGAAGAGGAAGATGAGAAATCAGAGATACAGACCTTGTAGGCCCACCAGCCACAGGAGGAGGGCAGAGCTAAGCTCCATTTTGTACTTGACTGGGATGTGCTAGTGAGCCTTCCAGATAGAATGGCCACCAGGGCCTGGAGCTCCGGGAGTGGAGAGGGCAGGAGGGCGGCTGAAGCTTGCAGCGGGGATGGGGAACAGCTTAATCAGGCCTGGAGCGGGATCCCAGCTTCTGCAGCACCCTGGGAACTCTTCCCCCTCTGTCATTTCTGGAAAGGACCCCGGGGAAGCCCCCCCACCCAATCTTGCCATCCCAGGCAACCGTGTATGGAGGATTTGCTGCCTCCTTTTGCAATAAGTGTTTGTGTTTGGCACATCTCAGCCCCTCCAGGGTAGCCATCCCCTGGATGTCAGAGGCATCACAGATGAAGTCAAGCACGTGTTTTATTTATTGGTCTCCTCGGCCCTAATCTTTCTCCAAACTTCAGACAGAAGTCTGTCCCAGAAGGTCCCCTGGGCTTTGTGGAGGGAACCGTGGCGTTTGGATGTGTAATTTTTCAAGGGTCCTTGGTGGGGTTTGAGGAGGCCCATTTACACAGTACCTGTCTTCCCAAACCAAGTTCTGAACCAATTAAAAGGTAAAGCTTACGGCTCAATAGTGCTGTTAGTGCACACACAAAACTTTTTAAAGATAAGCAGGTAGGACTTGAAAATATTCTTATTACAGATAAGTACAGTTGGGAAATGTGATTGGTTGCCCTTCGCTATGCTTCACCAGGACTCCAGCGTGGCGCACTTGCCACTAGGTTCAGGCGGGGTGGGGCGTCCATCCTGGGGCCCGTCCTGTGCGTTTCTGAATGTGGACAGATCAGAATGTGGGCTCCCTACATTGAGGGCCCAGTTATTTCCAAACGAACCAGTGGAATAAGGGATTACACCTCCAGGTTCAGGGTGGAGGGAAGAAGCAGGCTACATGCATGCGCACACGGTGACTTCATAGCGTTTTCAAAGCTGGGCGTCTGGAGGGTTGCTGGCCCCGGCACCTGTGACAGAGCCCCGTGTGTCCTTGTGTGGCAACCGACGGTGCACATCCCCTCGGATCCTCTACCTGCTCGGATTCTCTTTCTGGAACATTGCTCACGAACAACACGGTTTTTAATGCTGTCCCCAGCAGAGGCCTTTGGGAAGATGGTGGTGACAGCACGGTGGGTGGGGTTGTCATCCCAAGGCCCAGGGCTGAGAGTGGGCACTCGGACCCTTCACAAGGAGCCTGCCTGCTGCCCAGGACAGGGAAACACGAAGGCCTGGCCATACGTCGTGCTGCAGTGCGGGGTGGGTTTGTTGCTCCCTCCGCGCCCGCCCCCCACGGTGTTACTCCAGGCGCCACCTGTTACTCCGAGCCTGTTTCCCTCTGGAAGTCTTTCTCCGTGAGTGGCATCTTGTCATCTCAGTGGCTCAGTGTCCAAGGTTTAACAACTATTGTCCTCAGCAACCCCTGCTCTCCCCCGAGTCAAGCCGTCAGTCCACAGAGTGCGCGAACTGGGGTAGGAACATCTACCCAGCCTTCTCTGCCGTCCTTGCCGATGCCCATCGTGTGCATCTGGTCTTGCCCCCCACAAATAAGGTCACAGCGCCTCACCGGGCTTCGCTGCTGTGTGTTGTAGCTGTGTGCCCTGCGGGGCTCTGTGCAGTTGTGATTCATGCATTTATTCCTGCTCCAAGTGGCCTCTGGATGCCCAGTGCAGGGGCCTCCAGGGAGGGCAGGGCTCAGGCGGCAGGGGGCTGCCTTCTGCAGCCGTGTGACACCGCTGCTTTTTCTGTCCCTCCGGCTCACACAGCCACATGCACCACCCCTCGTCAGCCGACAGCGGGTTAACATATGCGTTAACATTTTCACTTTGCATTTGTTTCAGAATGGGAGAACAAGGAAGAAAACCAAACTAGAGATTTGAGTCTGAAGCCGGTCATTTCAGAAGAAATATCAGTGGTTCCAGGGGAAAGCCCCCTGGGGTGCATTGGTTCCGGGAGCTGTGAACCTGAGCGCAGCTCCTGTGTCAGGGCCAGCCCTGTTGGCCCGGTCGATGGGCAGGCCATGCGCCCTGCCGACCCTGTCACTGGGCAGCAGCGCGTTCCTAGCGGGGACAGGCCCTTCAGGTGCATCGAGTGCGGGAAGGCCTTCGGCCGCAGCTCCCACCTCCTGCAGCACCAGAGGACCCACACGGGCGAGAAGCCCTACGTGTGTGGCGAGTGCGGCAAGGCCTTCAGCCAGAGCTCGGTCCTCAGCAAGCACCGGCGGATCCACACGGGCGAGAAGCCGTACACGTGCGCCGAGTGCGGCAAGGCCTTCCGCGTGAGCTCCGACCTGGCACAGCATCACAAGATCCACACGGGCGAGAAGCCACACGAGTGTCCCGAGTGCCGCAAGGCCTTCACGCAGCTGTCGCACCTTATCCAGCATCAGCGCATCCACACGGGCGAGCGGCCGTACGTGTGCGCGTTGTGCGGCAAGGCCTTCAACCACAGCACGGTGCTGCGCAGCCACCAGCGCGTGCACACCGGCGAGAAGCCGCACGCGTGCGCCGACTGCGGCCGCGCCTTCAGCGTGAAGAGGACGCTGCTGCAGCACCAGCGCGTGCACACCGGCGAGAAGCCCTACGCGTGCGGCCAGTGCGGCCGCGCCTTCAGCGACCGCTCGGTGCTCATCCAGCACCACAACGTGCACACCGGCGAGAAGCCCTACGAGTGCGGCGAGTGCGGCAAGGCCTTCAGCCACCGCTCCACGCTCATGAACCACGAGCGCATCCACACGGAGGAGAAGCCGTACGGCTGCTACGCGTGTGGCAAGGCCTTTGTGCAGCACTCGCACCTCATCCAGCACCAGCGCGTGCACACGGGCGAGAAGCCCTACGTGTGCGGCGAGTGCGGCCACGCCTTCAGCGCCCGCCGCTCACTCGTGCAGCATGAGCGGATCCACACCGGCGAGCGGCCCTTCCGCTGCACGCAGTGCGCCAAGGCCTTCAGCCTCAAGGCCACGCTGATCGTGCACCTGCGGACGCACACGGGCGAGCGGCCCTACGAGTGCGGCCGCTGCGGCAAGGCCTTCAGCCAGTACTCCGTGCTCATCCAGCACCAGCGCATCCACACGGGCGAGCGGCCCTACGAGTGCGGGGAGTGCGGCCGCGCCTTCAACCAGCATGGGCACCTGATCCAGCACCAGAAGGTGCACCGGAAGCTGTGACGCAGCCTGGGAGCCCACGCGGGCCAGGCCCGCAGCGCGGGAACGAGTTTCGCGGAGCAATGGCAGGGAGCGCTGAGCGGCCACTCGGTGGCCATCTGGAGAGGAGTCGCACTCCTGTAGGAACTTGGATAAAGCAGCCATAACTCATCCTTCAATGACTGACAGTTTCTTTGACGTGGCAAACGGAGTTACGGCATAAGAATTACTGTCACAGTAAGACTTTCTTATGTTCCAAATAAAGTTTTTTTCTTAGAAAATTAACATCCCTTTCCTAAATACAGTAGTTATTCTGATGATTGCATTTAAAATTAGAGTGCTGGGCTGTTTTCAGTATTCAGTTAAAGCACTGAAGTGCCCTGTGGATAAAATGCTATTTAAAAGATGGTCATCAAGTAGCATCACAGAATATAGCTGGAAATCCTAAGTGTGTGGAGCCACGTGTTTTGTATGAAAAAAAAAGTCTTAAAGATTTGTGACAAATGATGTAAATTTATAAAACACTTTATCTAGTGTTTGAACTTTACTCAAGATCAGAAGGGATGTCTTCTCAGTACAAATTCAACTCACAAATGGATCTTTTCCTCAAAACCCACCCTGATGACTTACGTGCCCCAGAAATCATGGGGTGTCTTGGGCCTCTGGCCTCCGTTTGGACTGGGTAGGGGAGCCCCACACCTAGACCCAGACTTCATGGCTGCTGCACCAAGTGGCGTTTCCACAAAACGTTACTGAAAACACTTCTTTGGTGTATTTTTAAAACAAAGTTCTCAAACAAAGATCTCTTTTTTTCTATCTCAAATATTTCTCTTCCTAAGTTTGAAGGGTTCTGTTTCCTTTTTTGATTCCTGGTTTCCATTGTCATATACTGTGATGAGTCTGGTTTATTAATAATTTTTTTAGTTTTGTTCCCAAAAACATTATCAGCTTCTCAGGAAAAGCTAAGCTCGGGGTGTTGATACTTAAGCCCACAGCAGTCCACTGTGATGCAGATGAAAGCTTGTTTGCCCCTCTGTGCAGACACAGGTGAGCAGCTGATTCCCCTGATCACCGAGGTATGCTCGTAAATCCCCACAAAGGGATGCCACCAACCCTCACTGATGGAGCCCACAGCTGACTCGGTGGCTGCCGCCCACAGTCCACCACCACCGAGGGCACAATTCCTAATCATGTGGAAGTTAAAGCAAAAAATAGACATGTTCCCATCAGGATGAGACTAGAGTTCAGCTAGATGGTACTGTTCAGTGCACAGAATGTCATTTGCCTCTTCTTGCTGTTGGCTGCTGCTATCCTGTTGGTGTCAGGATTGGTGTCCGTGGAGCTGAGAGGCGAGCACAGTGCTGCTTCCTGGGGAGGCTTCTGGGCCCCGCATTTTTGCCGTTGACTCCCCAAGGAGCAGGAGGTAGTCCCCAGCCTGCTGGAACACGGGCCATCTGCCTTTGGAAGTGGCATCAGAGGCCAAGGTGACCTCTGGGGTCCCACTCACCCTGAGAACAGCCTTCTCAGCCATTACCTCCCAACTCTGACTTGTCAGCAACATTCACAATTACTTTGGATTTTCTAAGTTTACTTAGAAGCCTTTACATTTTATGTATTTAAATCTTTATATTATTTCTCCTTGAAGCTAGCAAAAATTTGACAATTCTCTTCAAATTTTCTATTATTTGGAAAACATTTAGTCCACCTGAAACTTATTTTTGTGTAACTGTGTATAATATGACATCTTCCAATAAAAAAAACAATGACTGGAACACATTTGTGGGTGAAGGAAAACCAGAGATTTTGGCAGAAGGATCTGCAAATCAGCGCGCATAGGGCACGAGCCACAGGTCCTGATAAGAGGCCATACAACCTGGAGAGCCTGGAGAAGGCTCTGGTGTGCCCATTCCAAACAAAGGAGGACACGCCAGCCCTCCTGGTCACTTAGGGAAGGGTATTCTGGCATGCGCAGAGCTGTGAAGGCGTGGGGATGGGCTGCTTTTGTGCATGGCTTACGCTGTTAATGGAGTCTGCCCCAAGTATGGGGACACATTAGCAGGACCCACAGGAACATGACGGCACACCAGGACTTCACTTGGCAGGTGCCAGGCAGTGTGAGGCAGTCCTGAGGGAGACAGGGGCAGCTCAGGCCACCGAAGGTCACTCCGTGCACAGGGCCTGGTGGGTGGAGGCTCAGGAGGGTATTTGTTAGGCGCTGGCCCTGCCGCGAGACAGGCGGCCATCATAGGTAGCAGTGTGAGCTGCACTGAGGTCTCTGCTACTGCCCACCTGGGTGAGTCTGGAAGACACGGTTTCTGCATCAAAGTTCCTGAGCAGAGAATTGCAGGTAAGGTGGAGTGGAGTTCAGGGGTTCCCAAGACTTGCCCTCACTTCTGACACCAATCACAAGTTTAGACATCACCAAGATCACCCTCAAGTTCAATAATTGGGTACAAGGACTCAGAACTCACATTGCGGGTTGGCCGAGTGGCACGTTGGTTAAGAGCTGGCTTGGGATGCCAGCTCTGAGCATCAGGGCCCCAGTTCAGATTCCACGTGGGGGCCAGTGACACTGCCTTCTACAGCTAAGATGGTGAACAACAGCTCGACCTGGAGCTGGGCTGCCGTGAGTCACCGGCAACGGCGTAGGCCAGTGAAGCGATGTCCTCCACAACTAGACTGAAGAACAAAAGGACAGCAACTTGTCTGTTTCCCTTCCCCGATTCCCCAACGCTGTTCCCCCATCCCCCAATTCCCCAATAAAATCTTTAAAAAAAGAAATGAACCAATGTCTGGTCTATGTGACAACCCAGATGACCTCAAACGCATGACACATGAGAAAGAAGTTATACTTGGAGGGCTCCGAACTGCATTAAGATAACATTCCAGAAAAGGTGAGCCTCAGGGACAGAAAACCCAACAGCTGCCAGGGCCCAGGGTGGAGAGGGGCTGGCAGTGAGTGTGAGCTTTAGTGAGCTGCGGTGAGCCGCCATGAGCCGCCGTCCAATGGCCGGCAAACGACTGCCTCACCCGGGAAGAGCGCAATGATAATACCAACATGGGCCAGTGAAACGATGTCCTCCACAACTAGATTGAAGAACAAAAGGACAGCAACTTGCCTGTTCCCCTTCCCCAACTCTCCAACACTGTTTCCCTCCCCCAATTCCCCAATAAAATCTTAAAAAAAAAAACTCACCTTGCAAGCTGATGCACACATGCTGTGTGTTACAGGGAACTCACCCAGCCAGGGTGAGCAGGGGGCACAACCCAGGAAGAGTACCAAATGTGGAGCTTCTATTGTCCTCCCATGGAAGTCACACACAGCAGTTCTTTCCTGGCACAGATGTGTGATGCTATGCAAGAGAGCAGTGCCAATAAGGGACGTTCACCTGAGTCTTGGCACCCAGAGCTTTTATTGGCTCGGTGACATCAACATAGCTGACCGCTTGCATGACTGACCTCAGTCTCCAGCCCCTCAAGAGGTCGAGCTAATGCCTCCTGGCCCAAAGCCCCCAGGCTAAATTATATGGTTGGTGTAGACCATCAGGCATGGCCCATGGCTACAGGTGAACAACTCAGTACAGGAAGTATGCAGGAAACTGGGACAGGCTGGAGTGGGGCAGGGTGTGGTGGCCACAGCCACCTCTACCAGGGACTGGAGAGCCTAGAGGCCAACAGACCCAGGGGACACTTTGACTAGCCCAGGTCCCGAGGACGGGTGGGAGGACCCAGATCAAGCTTCCAGTGACTCAGATCTGATGTCCTGCTTGAGTCTGTGCCCTAAGAATGTGCCCAGGGAGAGCATGCTGTGAGCATGACCCCATGGCCTCTCCATGCCCATCAGGGTGGGTGCTGTTACCTCTTTTACCCAGGGATGCTGACTCGAGACAACCAAGGACCTCAGCTGTTGGGCCCCCTAACCCCACAGTTGACAATCTGACTCATTGCTGGCTGCCCAGAGCTTTTCACAATTACTGATTAACAAGCAGCACACGCTCTGAGACGACCTCCAAAGGCCCTGTCATCAGCAGGCTAACAACTGTCTTTGATCTTGTGAGTTGAGAAAACCATAGGAAAGCTGCAAGGAGTTAGCCCACCAGACCCAGGAGTGACTGCCCAAGATGACTCAGTGGAAACGTCTAGAATCAATGGTCCCTTTGCCCATGCTGTCCCCACACACACACACATGGGCTTGACACTTCAATCTTGTGAAAGTGTGTCACCAATTCATGTTACGAACCTCTTGAGCCAAAAACAGCCAAGAAAACATCAAACTGTTTTCTCCACTTTTGCACAATGAAAACAACCAGCATATCTTCCTTCCAGGTACACTAGTCTATAAAAGATGCTTCTTCCCCACCACCCCTACGTGCCTCTCCAACCCTCTCCCTTGGGGTGCCACTGGCTCAGGGACGTGCAGGCTGATGGGATGAAGGGACCCCAGAGCAGGGACACTTAACAACCAGTGGAAGACCACCAGGGCCATAAGCAGTGACGAGGCAAAGAATGTAAAGTAGAGATGGTTCCCACTTGAAGCCATCACGAAAACATGAAGGTTTCCTGAGTGATCCGGCAAACACAGTAGCAGCCAGTCATCATGCCTATCTAAAATTAGAAGTGGAGGTTACAATTTCAATGTCCAGTATAGGGATGCCGTGTAGAGATTGGGCTGCATCCTGGAAGGCAGGACAATGGTGTCCCAGTAGTTCAGTGCTGGTGACATTACATATTGGATACAACAACTCCGGAAAGTATTTGCATATATACATCAATATCCTTTAAAAATCACATCCTGGGGCTGGCCAAGTGGCACACTGGTTAAGAGTTGGCTTGGGACGCCAGCTCTGAGCAGCAGGGCCCCAGTTCAGATCCCACATGAGGGCCAGTGATACTGCGCCCTCTACAGCTAAGATGGTGATCAACAGCTAGACCTGGAGCTGGGCTGCCGTGAGTCGCCCATGACAGTGTAGGCTGCAGCCCCCGCTGCAGTGGGTTGCCATGGGCTATCGTGTGTAGCCAGCAGCCAGCGTGAGCAGCCAGAAGCCACCATGAACAGCCGTCCAGAAGCCGGCGACTGATCTGCCTTGCCCGGGAAGAGTGCAATGATGGTGCCAACTTGGGCCAGTGAAGCAACGTCCTCCACAACTAGACTGAAGAACAAAAGGACAGCAGTTTGTCTGTTCCCCTTTCCCCAATTCCCCGGTGCTGTTCCCATCCCCCAATTCCCCAATACAAATCTTAAAAAAAAAAAAAAAAAGAAACTGTGGTACATTTATACAACGGGGTATTACTCCGCTATAAAGAAGAATGAAATTGTACCATTTGCAACAATATGGATGGACCTAGAGAACATTATGTTAAGTGAAATAAGTCAGTCGGAGAAAGACAAGTACCATACGATCTCACTTATATGTGGAATCTAAAAAACTGTATGAACGAGCAAAGTAAACAGAAATAGTCTCAGAGATATAGAGGAAAAACTGATGGTTGCTAGTTGGGAAGGGGTTGGGGATGAAGGAGAAGGGGAAGGGGTTAGACAGCATAAATACATAACTACAATATTGCCACAGGGACATGAAAGACAGTTCAAGGAATATAATTAATAATGTGATAAATATTTTGTAGAGTGTCAGATGGTCACATGTCTTGTTAGGGAGACCGCTTCATGGATGGGGTAGAGGCCTGATCACTGCACTGTACACCTGAAGCTGATGTTGTATAATATTGTATGTCAACTGTAAGTGAATATATATATATATATATAGTTGTGTGTGAGTGTGTTTGTGTATAGTCATGGGACGTGGAGTATAGTGTGGGAGTGGAGTCAAGGGAATTGTAATAGATATGTATGATATGGGGGGCGGGAGGTAGGGTGGCAGATTGGGGGAGGGAGGTTGTCACTTTGATGGGTAAAAAGTATATCTATTGCACTGTGTTGTACAGCTGAATCTAACTTTTTTTAAATGTTTATTTCACAATAAAAAATAAAAACCTAAAGGAAACCAAGAAAATAATGTTATGAACAAAATGACAATAGAGACAGAACTTATAAAATTGAACCAAACAGAAATTCTGGAGCTGAAAAGTAAAATAGCTGAAATGAAAAACTCAACAGAGTGGTTCAACAGTGGATCTGAGCAGGCAGAATGATCAATGAACTTGAAGGTAAGCATGAAGAGAAATTAACATGTCCACATACAAAGTGGATTAAGGACCTAAACTAAGACTTAAAACTATAAAACTCTTAGAAGAAAACACTCTGAAGGGGAAACCTTCAGAACCATAGATTTAGCAATGATTGCTTGGGTATGAGACCCAGAGCACAGGCAACAAAGAAAACAGATAAATTGAACTTCATAAAATTAAAAGCTTTTGTGCATCTAAGGACACTTATCAAAAGAGTAAAACAGATAACTCACAGAATGATAGAAAATATTTGTAAATCATACTTCTAATAAGGAATTACTGTGCAAATATAAAGGACTCCTACACCTCAACCACAAAACACAAAAGAACCCAATTCAAAAATGGGCAAAAGACCTGAATAGAATTTCTCCAGAGAAGGTATATGATACAGATGGACAGACAATAAGCACCTGAAAAAATGCTCAGCATCGTTAGTCATCAGTGAAATGCAAATCAAAATCACAATGGGATACCACCTCATGCCCATTTAGGATGGCTATTATCAAAATAAAAAATAACCTGCTGGCAAGGATGTGGAGAAATTGGAGCCTTCATGCACTGCAAGTGGGATGTGATATGGGGGCAGCTGCTGTGGAAAAGTTTGGCTGTTCCTCAACAAGTTAAACATAGAATTACCATATAATCCATCAATTTCACCCCCAGGACTATAACCCAAAGTATTGTAAGTAGGGATTCAAACAGATACTTGCACATCTGTGTTCACAGCACCTAATGCACAACAGTCACAAGGTGAAAACACCCACGTGTCCATCAACAATGATGGATAAATACAATGTTGCATCTCTAAACAATGGAGTATTACTCAGCCATGAAACAGAATAGCGTTCTGACACCAGCTACAATGTGGATGGACCTTGAGGATATTTATTATGCTGAGTGAGATAAGCCAATGACAAAGGGCAAGTACTATGCGATTGCACTTATTTGAGGTCCCTAGAGTCGTCCAATTCACACAGATAGAAAGTAGGATAGGGGTTGCCAGCAGTTGGAAGAGGGGAGAATGGGGAGTCTGTTTGGGATAATAAAGCTGTTATAGATGGTGGTGATGGTTACACAGCATTACAAATATACTAATGCCACTTAATTGTACATTTCAAAACGGTTAAAATAGTAAACTTTATGTCAGGTGTATTTTACCACAATAAAAAAGGCCTCTTGAGTGACTCAGAAAAGCATGAATGGTATGTTTTTAAATGTAAAAAGTGTAGAAATATGTAAATATGTGGAATTCTTTCCAGTGTAACTTCTCTGTTATTGAGGGAAAGTGAAGGTGGAGATCCTGGGCGCTGCAATAAGCACACCAGTGCTTTCCTTTGAAGAGCTCTTCAGCGTGTCTGAAAGGAAACATACTGAATTGGCAGCTGTAAACTCTCTTGTAAATGGGAGGGACTATCGCAGCATCTCCTTTTTGTGCTCCTTTCTCTCAGTTCCTCTAAAATGAACATGCACTCCCTGCTCTTGGCTTAAGAAAAGAGTGTTTTTACTAGACAGAAATGCCTTTCACCTGTGACAATGCTGCAAGGACCAAACTTCACAGGTAGGGTGGGCCCTCCACCATCACATGCAGGCACCTTCCCGGAGGTGCAGCCGCTGGTGCTGGAACACGTTGGAGCTGTGCCGGAAGGCCTTGCCGCACTGGCCGCACGCATAGGGCTTCTCTCCTGTGTGGACTCGCCGGTGCTGGGCGAGGTGAGCACCCTGGCTGAAGGCTTTGTTGCAGTCGCTGCATTTGTATGGCTTCTCTCCGTGGTGCAATCGCTGGTGCTGGATGAGTCTGGAGCTGTTGTGGAAGGCCTTGTCACACTCACCACACGCGTAGGGCTTCTCCCCAGTGTGGACTCGCCGGTGCTGGAGGAGGTGTGTGCTCTGGCTGAAGACTTTACCGCAGTCATTGCATTCATAGGGCTTCTCGCCAGTGTGGCTTCTCTGATGCTCGACAAGTTTAGTTTTTTGGATGAAGGCTTTCTCACATTCATTACATTTGTAGGGTTTCTCTCCAGTGTGAATCCTTTGATGTTGGATAAGGTTAGAACTTTGGGTAAAGCCTTTGCCACATTCCTTACACTCAAATGGCTTCTCTCCAGTGTGAGTCCGACGATGTCGGATAAGGATTGAACTGTCACTGAAGGCCTTTCCACACTCATTGCATTTGTAGGGTTTCTCCCCTGTGTGGATTCTCTGGTGATAAATAAGGGATGAGTAGGCGCTGAAGTGTTTCCCACACTCACCACACTTATAGGGCTTCTCCCCAGTGTGGATCCGCTGGTGCTTCATGAGGTTGGGTCTCCGGTTGAATGTCTTCCCGCACTCAGCACAGCGGTAGGGAATCTCTCCCGAGTGCATCCTACGGTGATTGATGAACTCGCAGCTCTGACTGAAGGCTCTCCCACACTCACCGCACTTGTAGGGCTTCTCCTCACTGTGAAGCCGCTGGTGCTTGATCAGGTTGGCACTGTACCTGAAAGCTTTCCCACAGTAACCACAATAATGCAGTGTTTTCCCAGCAGGAATTTTCTGATTTCGGATAACTAAATTTGCACTGACGATTTCCCCAAAATCATGAACTATATTTGTTTTTTTTGACCTATGTACACGCTTATGGTTATTGAGATATGATCTCTGTTCAAAACTTTGATCACATATATCACATCTGTGAGGTCTCTGATCAGAGACAGGGCTTGATCCCAGCCTGAGGCTTCCCCCAGACTCCTGACTGCTCTCCTCATTGGTCACTGTGACTGGCCTGGGGCCCTCCTGCTCCGTGGGCTTGTCCAGCCTCTCCTCTGACTCTCCGACAGGCTTACAGGCTTCTCCTATCTCTCGTGTTCGGGGAACAGCCCCCCCAAGTCGGTCCCGTTCTGCACCATCCAGCATCTCCCCTGAAGCCAACTCCATGTACTCAGTCCAGGCCCCATAAGCTGAAACAACAAACAGGACATCTCAGGGTCACCTGTGCTGGTTCTGGAAGGAAGGTATGAAGATGCTGCTGACCACCTGTGGAGTACCAAATTCATCACCTCCAAAGTCACAGCACCTTCAGAGATAACAGCCCGTAGCTCAGAGGCTTAAAAACCTCGCCCAGGCCAGTCCTGTGGCAGTGCCAGCATTTAAACCAAGGTCTGATCAACTCTCACATCCAAGCCCTTTCTGCCTGCATTCTGCCTCCAAAACCTGCCTGAGTGGGACTGCAGGGAGACTGTGCTCATTACAAAGGGAAGGAAGACGGAGGTTTCAGAACACCGCCGAGACCAGAGAAAGGAAGGGCCCCAAAAATCATGCACAGCATCTGACAGACAAAGAAATTAAGGCAAAGTGAGTCTAAGGCCACCAAAAAGTGCCCCAAATCCAGGCTAGGTAAACGAGTTGCCTCCCCAGGGGGCCAGAAGGCCAAGCTCATGCTAGCTGTGGATGGGGTGGAGCACACAGAGGCCAGGTCCTTCAGTTTTCCCTAGCAGTCACGCCATTCCCAGGGCTCTTTCCAGGGTCACGAGAGGACATTCAGGTGAGCCACCAGTACCTTCAACTCAGGATGCCACACAGAATGCTTTCTGATGCTGTCCTTCCTTGACTAGAGACTCACACACCAACCCCACTGGCAGGAACACACCCACTCAAGATGTGTTCTGTGAGAGCCCAGAGAGAGACACGCATAGCCCCAAGGTGGGGACAACTGAATGTCCTGCACAAGTAGAGCAGAAAATGATGAGTGGCATGTTCACGACAACACAATGGTGATGAAGCTCAACAAACCCCATGTAGTTTTCAAAGGCCCACCTGGGTCCAGACGGACAGAGCCAGGGGTCAGCGGGCACCTGTGGGCACTGCAGGAAAGGGCAGAGGAAGGCCCCTGGGCTCCTGGGGACTAACCGTTCTGTATTGTTTTTAAAGTTCACTGAGCTGTATAAACTTTCATTTCTGTAAGTATTTACATTCAAATTTAGAAAAGAGAAGTTCAAGTCCTTTGAGCCAGTAGTTCCTTCCTAGGACACCATCAAAACATATGCAGCACTGTCCACGGCAACAAGTTCAGAGAACACCCTCCCTGATGGCACTTGCAGTGACAGCAGTTCTGGACTTGTGTGTGCAGAAGTAGAAAAGCAGCTAGTGACAAGTGATGGTACAGCAGTGCAGACGGGGTCACATGTCACATGCAGCTGTGGGCCGGACAGGGACAGCAGGTACACAAAGGGACACTTGTGTGTGTGGGTGGTGACTCAGATGGCATAACTTAAGTGGGTCAACTTAGAAGAGGGGAGTGCAGCGATTGGCCCCGACCGACCCCACAGCAGTGCATGACCTCTCTGGGGGCAGGGCTCCACGGGGGTCCCCGCCACCCAATCCCCTTGAGCCACACCCAAATCCCTTCCTTCTCCTTCTCCAACACTGCCCCTTACCCACCTGGGAGATGCAGCTCAGGAACCATGGCAGCCAGGCACCCAGGCTGACACAGGCGACCTGGGTTTCAGCAGAGGCCTGCCCAGGGCTGGTGAGCTGGCCCTGATGCCTCTTTCCCCAACCCCGAGTCATTAGCCACACACCTGGGACTCCAAGCGATGCTCGTTCAGTGACTGAGTTAGGGAAGCAGCCCCTCACGCACCTGAGCCATCGACTCTCAGTCGCCCTGTCTCCTTGGCACCCGGTGTGTCCAGGACCCATGGCTCGTCCCCTCGCTCCAACTGTGTAATCACCCCAGGCTTGGGACCTGTAGGTCCAGCTCCTGGGAGGGAGACAGGGCCTGGGGTTGGTGCCAAGGACACGGGGCTGGGGGACTGTAGGCAGAGGGGGAAGTGCAGGTCCGGGTGTGACAGGAAGTTGGGACACTCTGGAGACCAGATCAGAGCACAGGGGGCTCTCTCCACAGCGAGGCACACAACTGCCCCTGGGGAGGGGTCTGCCTTGGGTCTGGGGCAGGAGCTCACAGGAGGGAAGGGCTTTCTTCTGTACTGAGCAGGCCCCCAGCCCAGCCCCTGCCCAGTCCCCAGTGCCCAGGGTTGTTCTCGGAGCTGCGTCCTGATGAGAGGCCTTACCCAGAGAGACCAGGTGCCCATAGGTCTCCAGCATCACGTCCCTGTAGAGGCCCCGCTGAGTAGGGCCCAGACAGCCCCACTCCTCCCGAGAGAGGAGCACGGCCACGTCCTCAAAGGTCACCTCAGCCTGGAAGGACAGGAGTTGCTGCAGGACTACGTGTGGCTCAGAGTGACCCTGGGAACATGCCCAGATTAGCCCAGGGGTGGCCTGACCAGTTGGCTACTGAGCCAGCTATGTCAGGAGGCTCGGGGGGTCCCAAGGCCACCCTTCCTCTTTTCAGCACCCCGACCCGAGGTCCTGACTGTGTTTGCTGAGGTGGAACAGGAGGAAAGCCCCCAGTGAGGGATGATGCTCACCTGGGGCGGGGCAGACAGGTGCAAAGCCGCCATCTGTGGTTCCCTGGGCTCCCCCAGTGGCAGGCAGGAGCCAGTCACTCTGGTGCTGAGGGAGGAGAGGTGGCTTCAGGGCCCGGCTCAGCAACATGGGGCATAGCTGGCCTCCCGCAGACTTCCCGACCCCACTGCAGGGACCGTGCAGGACACCCCAGGTCCCTGGCATGCTAAGTTGTCTCATCCAGGAGGACAGAGGTCCTCATGACCTTTACATGAAAGAATAAAGTCAGCATGTTAAGTGTCAAGGAGGAAAAGTAAAAAAAAAAAAGTCAACAGAAGGCAGAGAACGAAGACAAAGCATAGAAGATAAAAACTATAAAGCTAGTAGAAACAAGTCCAATGGATGAGTCGTGTCAAGAAATAAAAGCATTAAACTCACCTACTAGAAGCACGAAATTTTGATTATGTACACAAAATGCACCTACTAACCTAAAGAGAAAGAACACAGAAAGGCTGAACACAAGACAAAACAAACACATACCAATCAAAATAAAGTCCTAGTATCTATATGCCTTTTCTGCACCTTTAAATCTCTTTATTGAAGTGTGACATTCATATGGGAGAGGCAATAAGCCCTGAACGCACAGCTGCAGTCCTGCTCCCCCCTCCTTTGGGGGCCATCTTCCTGACATCCACCCTACTGGTCTGCTGTGCCCCCAGCAACCTTTGTCACAGGAACTAAGCCTTCTGCCCTCTGCTGGTCAACTCCCCTTGAGGTGGTGGTTGTGAGCTTCTTTGAACTGCTGTGTGTGGCTTAGCAATAGTTATATCAATCAAAACAGAACTGAGCGAGTGGCTCAGTTGGTTAAGAACTCGCTCAAGAGTGCGAGCTCTGAGCAACAGGGTTGCCGGTTTGATTCCCGGCCCGAGCTGAGTTGCTGCTGAGCTGCCAACAGGTGGCAGGATGGCTCAGCTAAAAACAACACAAAGCAGAACTGAAAGCAAAAATCATCAATAGGAACCAAAGTATTGCATATTTAAAAATGGAAAACTATCGAAAAGCTGTCATTACAAACATGTGTACTGCCAACAGATTCTCAAAATGTAAAAAACCAAAGCTAAGTGAAGTAACTTGAATGACAGATTTTAACACACTCCTGTCAGAAGCAAGTGGATCAATAGAGAATTTTATGTAAAGCATGAAGAATACACATTTTTCAAGATGTACATTGAATATTATAAAAACACAATATACCAGGCAATGAGGAAAGCGTCAGCAAATTCCAAAGGCTGATATCATTTGGCAGAATATTCTCTGACCATATTGTTATACTGGAAATACATGATAAAAAGTACTCCATCTAGGAAAAACAGAAACAGGAAATAAGGTGGAAACATAAACAAAGGCTATGTAAGGAAAAATGTGTGTCCTTAACATGCTAATTTTAACACAAGAGATATTGAAATAAATGGTCTGAACATTCAACAATAAATCAGACACAGAAAAGGAAATTAAATCAGGGAAAGAATATGAAAGAAAAATAAAGAAAACATGATTTAAAGAAACAAAATAATCTGAATATTGGTTCTTTGGAAATGCTAATAAAACACAAACGTGTTAGCAAGTTCAATGTGGGGGTTGGGCTGCAGATAAGATGGAACGGAAACACTGTGAAGAACTAAAGGTGACATGACTCCACATACCACACGGTTAGTGGTGGCTCTCAGAGTGTGGCCCAAGGACCTGGGCTCTGGCACTCAGTCTGTTTCCATAACAACGCTGAGGAAACACACCAGACTCATTGGCATAGGAGTCAGTGAGAAGACCAGGGAGCTCCCTCACCTGCTGCTTTCCAGCATCGTACCAAAGACCCTAGCCAATGCAGCACCTCACAGAAGAAGACATAAAGCCATAAGCACGGGAAGACAATTGACAAAATCACCATTATTTGAGAATGATAAGATCGTCTACATAGAAAATCCAGGAGTATCAATGTACTGTCGGGATGATAGGGGTCAACAGCATTGCCATATATGAGGCCAACACGGCCTAATTAGCACTGCTCCTATGGATTTGCCATCAGTAACTAGGGACTGGCGTTCACAACAGCAACAAACACTACTAGACAGCACCTCACCAAAAATATGTAAGTGCTCTATGGACAACATGATAAAACTTTAGTGAAGGTCGTTAGAAAGACCTATGGAGAAACAATGTTCATACACAAACTGTCATGAAAATGTTGCTTCTCCCAGAATGCATCTATTAATTCTGTGCAATCAAAATTGCAAAAGGAAATATAAAATCTGACCAAAACGGCTCTAAATATCACAAGAGTAATGAATGATTCAAGATTAACCAAGACAATGCCAAAAAAAGCAAGATAGGCAGAGGGTGCCCTACAGGTATCAGACTATTGTGAGGCTATGGTAACAAAAGTGAGCATAGGAGATAAGATAATGAAGCATCATATAACACATGTATTCATGACACACCTGCCATGCTCATGGCAGTGGACAAGTCAGTAAATGGTGCTGGTGCAACAGAGTTTCCACAGGAAAATCAAGTTAGATCCTCCTTCTGTGGCACACAAAAATAGATTTCAGGTAGGTTGATGACCTAAATTTTTTCTTCTTAATGTTTATAGCTGTTTTAGGAAAATAATAAGAAAAAAATAGTCCATAAAGGAAAATGTTGTTTTTTTTAAAGATTTTTATTGGGGAATTGGGAGATGGGAACAACGCTGGGGAATTGGGGAAAGGGAACAGACAAGTTGCTGTCCTTTTGTTCTTCAGTCTAGTTGTGGAGGACGTTGCTTCACTGGCCCAAGTTGGCAACATCATTGCCCTCTTCCCGGGCAAGGCAGATCAATCGCCGGCTTCTGGACGGCCGCTCATGGCAGGTGCTGGCCGCTCACACTGGCTGCTGGCTACACACGGTAGCTTATGGCAACCCACTGCAACAGTGGCTGCAGCCTACGCCGTCACCGGGGACTCACGGCAGCCCAGCTCCAGGTTGAGCTGTTGTTCAGCATCTTAGCTGTAGAGGGCAGTGTCACTGGCCCTCGTATGTGGGATCCGAACCGGGGCCCTCTGGTGTCCCAAGCCAGCTCTTCACCAACATGCCACTCGGCCAGCCCAGGAAAACTTGTTTAATTTTACTCCATCAAAAAAAAAATTCTGGGGCTGGCCGAGTGGCGCGTTGGTTAAGAGTTGGCTTGGGACATCAGCTCTGAGCAGCAGGGCCCCGGTTCTGAGCCTACATTAGGGACAGTGACGCTGCGCCCTCTACAGCTAAGATGGTGAACAACAGCTCGACCTGGAGCTGGGCTGCCGAGAGTTGCCAGTGATAGCGTAGGCTGCAGTGAGCTGCTGTAAGCTACTGCTTAGTGGCTGGCAGCTAGCATGAGCTGCCAAGAGCCGCTGTTAGCAGCCGTCCAGTGGCCTGCGACCAATCTGCCTCACCCGGGAAGAGTGCAATGATAATACAAACATGGGCCAGTGAAGCGACGCCCTCCACAACTAGACTGAAGGACAAAGGGACAGCAACTTGTCTGTTCCCCTTCCCCAATGCTATTCCCCTCCCCCAATTCCCCAATAAAATCTTAAAAAAAAATTCTGCACAAGAAATCATAAAATTAAATGACAAGCTGCAAAGTAAAAGAGGGTATTTGCGAACACATAACAAGATAAATATACAGAAAATATTTTACAGTTCCAAAAATTAAGACCATTCAATTTAAAAAATTAACACAGGATATAACCTGGTATATCACAAATAAAGAAATCACAATGTCCAATAAACATCTGAACAGGTTTTCAATGTCAGTAAGAATTAGGGACATGCAAATGAAAACAAGACTTCTTTCCCCATAGATTGGGGAAAATATAAAATGTTTCACAATATCAAATGCTGAAGACATGAGGAAACACAGAGACCATCAGAGTACCTACCATAGGAGTGTACACCAGTACAGCCACTCTAGAGATCCATGGGACACTATCTGGTACAGCTGAGACCCTGCAAACCCATCAGTCAGGAAGCCTAATTCTAAATTTGTGCCCTAAAGAAACTCTTGCTAACCACACAAGGTGACATGTGAAATGTTGCCACATGTCTATGTGCAGAAAAAAAGTAGAAGAACCTCACTATCCATTATCAGATAACAGGCAAGGGCACAGTGGTTGAACGAACCACATCAGTGTCACACAGAGCACGAAGCTGTAAAGCTGAGTAAATCTGTGAAGTGTAGAATATCAATAGTATGGTATATACGTAGATTCTAAAATACAGAAACACCATAAGGTATGTAGAGGTATAGGAAAATGTGCTGACAGCAAAGTAACAATCAACAGGGTGAAAAGGTACCTAAGGGACACGAGAAAATATTTGCAAACCATACATCTGATAAGGGGTTAAGATCTAAACTACGTAAGCAACTCACACAATTCAATTGCAAAAAAACCAAATGACCTGATTTTAAAATGGACCAAGGGCCCCAAAAGACATCCCAATAGCCAACAGGTACAAGAACACGTGCTCAACATCACTGATCATCAGGAAAAAACAAATCTAAACTAATGTGAGATACCACCCCACAGCTGTCAGAATGGCCATCATCCAAGAGACAAGAGATCAGTGCTGGCAGGGCTGTGGAGAAAAGGGGTCCCTCACGCACTGTTGGTGGGAATGTACATAGGTGCAGCCACTGCGAAAAGTTGTACGAGGTCCCTCAGAAACCTTTTCCACTTCTGGGTACTTATCCGAAGGAAAAGAAATCTGGAGCTCGAGATGCCTGCGCCCTGTGATCACACTGCAGCATTACATACAATGGACAAGACATGGCAACCACCTCAGTGTCCATGGATGGGTGGATGGATCCAGGGAATTCAGCATACATATACACATGCATTCCATTACTCAGCCATAAGAAAGGCAGGCCTGACATTTGCAACAACATCGATGGACTTGGAGGACACTATGCTCAGTGAAATGAGCCAGACACGGCAACACAAACACGGCATGATGTGGAATCTGAAATAGTCCAAATCGTACAAGCAGAGTCGATGGTATGTGCTGGGGGTTGCGGCGGCGGGGTGCGTGTGGAGGGGCTGCTTACTCCAGGCCCAGTGAGAGGGAGACGGCAGGGGGCGGTCCCGGGCCTTCCGGGAGGCTGAAGCAGTCCGGGAGGGCGACGTGGGAAGGGGCGTCAGGCGCGGGGACGCCGGGCCAGGGGACTGGGCCTGCTGGGGAACCGCGGGCAGGAGGTGTTGTCCAACGCGGGGCACACCCCGCCCCCGAGCATCGCGGCGTCCGCTACGGGAAGAGCAGGCGCCAGGCGCCCAGGAGGCCCCGCTCCCCAGCCCCGCCCCGCCCCGCTGGGCCCGCACTCACCTCAGCGCCTCCGAGCATCGGCCGCCCGACCACGCCCCGCCCGCTCCACCGCCCCGCCAATCGAAGCCCAGCGGAAGTGACACGAGCCCCGCCCCCTCGCGTCCAGGTCCGTGGCGCCCTCCGGCCTCTCCGGGAAACGGATTACGAGTCTTGGTCGTCTGTCTCCTCCAGGAACGGTAAACGCGGTGCCACAAATCCGGGACGCGGACACCAGGTGGCAGCCTGGAACCACAATTCCGAGGCTTCAGAACCTAGGCAAGGGTGAGGCGTCGGTGACCAGTTTGGAAGACTAACACTCATTTTTCTACCCAGTGAGCTGCTAAAGGCCTTTCGTTTAGAAAGACCTTTCTTCACGGAAAATAAAGAGGATGCTTACTAGTCAAAGAAGCCCTTCTGAGCCTAACCCCTGCCCCCAGCCCCACCCCGTCAATGGGGCCATGTCCACTCTAAGTAGACAGGGCCTCCTCGGATGCCTGACTGCTTCTGCAAGCCCTCCCTGATGTCCAGTGTCTCCGCCAAGACCCCAGGCCACTTTAACCAGAGGTAGGCAGTAAAGCAGTGGCACATTATGGTCCAGGCACCAAAGCGAAGTGCTTTCCTTCAGGAGACATTCCCCCGTGTTCTCTACCTCCAACCAAGGCCATGGCCTTGTTGGGGGTCACTGCCTAGGTGTGGTGGGTGGCCAAGGGCAGGTGGGGCCAGGAGAGGCAAGACTAAGGGCTGCAGGCCAGGTGACAACAGAGACGGGTACGGACCATGAGAGCAAGGAGCCACAGTCCAGGCATCGTCCAGGAGGGACCCCCTGGGGCACACAGCCTCAGTAATAGTTGAGGTGGCCAGGCAGTGGCCCGCAGCTCCTCTCATACCAGGAAACCACCGGGGGCTGGGGCAGGTCCTGGTCCTATCGTGCCAATGGATCTCCACTCATGTTGATGCCAGCTCAGAAGTGTCTGTCCCAGATGTCAGCTTTTACAGAACTGTCACAAACTTTGGGACAAGGTGCCCTAGTCTGTGGCTAACAGGAAGCCCATTCGTTGGGCATCCCCTGGTCCTCCCATGGTAGGACAGCTTCAGGAGCACCACCCGTGCCTCACCTCGATTCTCCTGAGCTCAGGATGAGTTAACAAATGCAGGTGTAGGGTGGGCTTCTCTGCTCCATGTGCCAGGTGCTGGTGGGGCTCCAAGGACCAAGCACCCCCACCTCCTCCCCAGAGCTTCCTCTGCTCACTGCTACACCTGCTTCATCTTCCTCCTCCCTATACCTGTAGCTCCATGGCAGTGCTCCAAGCAGAGCTCTTCGTGCTGAAAACACAGGCAAGCACAGCGTAGTGGCAAAAAGACAGACTTTATTAAGCCCCCTGCCCTAGTTCTCTTTCTCCTGCACAGTCTTGGTTCCCCGTAGACGCCCGGTCCGGCGGGCAGCGATGAGACCCACTTTGCGGCCAGCAGGGGCATCTCTGCGGATGGTAGAGGGTTTGCCGATGTGCTGGTGGTTGCCACCTCCAAACGGATGCTCCACAGGCTGTAGGCAGAGGGAGGTGGTGTCAGTGTGGGGACAACCCGAGCCTACCTCAGGGTCAGGAGGAATTGGGGATGGCAGGATCAGCTGGCCTGTGCCTACACACCTTACCCAGAGTCTCACACCACAGACCCCCCCCCCCACCACATTCCAGGAAGGAACCTGCCCATCCAGCCTGTCCCTGTTCCGTGAACACCCCACTGCCCATCTCCAGGTTACTCACGTTCATGGCCACACCCCGCACACGGGGCCAACAATTCCTCTTTGCCTTGTACTTGTGGTAGGCACGGCCGGCCTTCAGAATGGGCTTGTCAATGCGGCCACCTCCGGCCACCACACCTGTTGGGGAGACCAGGCACTTCAGGGAGGGGCAACACACCCTCCCCAGCACCTAGGACCCTCCTTCAGCCAGACACAACATCCCCTCCTGGGTCCCCGTCAGCACCCACCCGGTACCAACCAACTCTCTGTATGTATCACAGCATGGTTCCCAGAAGCCTGAGTCAGCGGACAGTGAGTTTCTCCAGGCTCCGAGAAGCAGTGGAGGCCAGGCCTCTGCCCATGTCATCTGTGATACCCATCTCAACCCGGGGTTCTCCAGAGAAGCCCTTCCCGTCACATCTGACAAGGGCAGGTCCCTCAACTCCGACCCCCAACAGGAAGGCTGAGGCAACCTGCCACATCTCAGCCAGTTTTGCTTATTCTGTGAAACCACTCTCGAGAGCGCAGCAGGACTGGGTTTGCCACAGGGACCTGGAGATGTTGCCAAACAGCAGCAAACAAATCTGGATCCAAATGCTTGTTAATGCACGTACTGGGTGGTTTTAAATAAATCACACCTTTTTGAAAGGCTGTCAACAAGGGGATGTAGGGGCAGGGGTCACAGAAGTGTAGGTCATGCCAGTGTGCAGATGGGTCCTGGCCACCTAACCCTGTCTCTCTCCAGTGATGCTGGTCTTACCAAATCCACTTCATAGTTACAACTCAGAGGCTGTGTCCATGCTAAAGCTTTAATGGGGTAGGCACTTAGGTTCCAGGGCCCAGGTCTGCCTGCTGATGGTTCCCAGAGACCCCAGCCCACAGCAGTCCACTGTTGCCTGCCACTCACCGACCACAGCTCTGTTGGCAGAGGAAATGACCTTCTTGGAGCCCGAGGGCAGCTTCACTCGTGTTTTTTTGGTCTCGGGGTTGTGGGAGATGACAGTGGCATAGTTGCCGGAGGCTCGGGCCAGCTTGCCCCGGTCACCAGGCTTCTCCTCCAGACAGCACACAATGGTACCCTCGGGCATGGTGCCCACCGGGAGCACATTTCCAATGTTCAGCTGAGCTGCAAGAGGCAGCAGTACCGGACAGTCAGCACATCGAGGTGTTGTCTGAACGACTGCTAGACAGAGGCAACGCAACTCCTCTGCACAGTACCCCAAAAGCCAGCACCGCACTCCATGGTCCCGCCTCCTCCTACAGCTCTCCGGGCCCCAACTCGTGCCCAGCAGGGCTAACGCAGTATGCCCTCTTCCTGGATGCCTCCCCCGCCCGTCCCCACCCCGACCTCCCATCCCAGGAGCGCGAATTACCCTTCTTGCCGCAGTACACGAACTGGCCGGTGTGGATGCCTTCGGCGGCAATGAATAGCTCCGTCCGCTTCTTAAACCGGTACGGATCGCGAAAGACCACCTTGGCGAGGGGCGCGCCGCGACCTGGGTCATGGATGATATCCTGCGGGCCGAGGCTGCGTGAGCGTGGGGTCCCGGCGGGATATCCCGCGCCCCCTCCCGCCCTAGAGGGCGCCCCGCACCTTTACGATGCCCTTGATGTACCCGTGACGCTCGGCGAAATCCACAGCGCGCAAACGCGCGGCGCCCTTGCGGTGCTTCACATGCGCGCGGAACACGGAGCCGGCGCCCTTCCTCTGCCCACGGATCACGCGGCCCATGGCGGCAGTCTGGAGGCAGCTCACAGTCAGCACCCGCGCGGCCCAGGCACACCCGCCACCCGGCTTCAGGGCCCCCTTTCCCCAGGCTCCTCCCTCCAGTCCCCGGCCCCCTCCACGCCCCCATCCTTGGCCGTGCACCCGGGTGTTCTCTCAGGAGCCCGCGTAGGCCCTTGGCAGGCCTCAGGGTGACGGATGGCGACGGATGGCAAGCAGGCCTCCAGAGCCCAAAGATGTCTTACCTGCTGCCTAGTGCGGCCGAAAGAGGAGACGCGGCGCTCGCGAGTTGCCTTATCTTCCGGGGTCGAGCTGAAAGCCACTTGATCTTCCGCGCAGGCGCCGCGACCTCGAGTGTAGTGCACGCCGGGACTTGTAGTCCTCTCTCGCATCCGGGGCCTCCGCGCAGGCGCACTGGCGTGGCCGGGTCACTGGTGCCCGTAAGGTCCGCAGGTCTGGACCGCTGGCCGCTCTCCCTCCGCGGTGTCATCACGTGGGCGGGGCCGGGGAGGAGAGTGGAGGGGCGCCACACCCTCACTGAGGCCTCCCACTGAGCAGCTTAGGCGTCCCCGAGGGACTGAGTGATTTGTTCAGGGTCATGTTTCCCCCAAACAGAATGACACTGAGTTGGGGACCGTGCTTCGGCGCGTGGACTGTGGGGTCCCTGAGATGGTCCCACAAGTCCCTAGGATGCAGTGTGTGTTGGGGGGAACCTGTCCTCCCTGTGTCCTGGAGATGGCTGCCAAGACCATGGATGCAGCCAGAAGGCAGCTGACCATGCCCACTGCAGAGCGTGTGTCCATGCCTTGCCACAGGTAGATTATCAGTGCCACAGTCTGAGGCGAGACTGGGACAGCAGAGCCAGCCCAGGAGCCCCAGTGGGTGTCTCACAGCTGTGAGTCCCCCATTGGGGGCCCTGGGCCAAGAGGAAACTGCGAGGTGCTGCTCTGGGGGACTTGCTTGTGTGGGCTCCTTCCGGAGGCTTACCTGAGGTTGCAGGTGTGGACTCAAGGGAGCGCAGCCAGTGGTGGGACTCTGGGAGGTGCAGACACCCACCTAATGTTTACCATTCTCCTGCCTCGTGCTGGTTAGACCTGTGATTGACTCCATCTCACTGGCCTGAAAGTCAACCCTGTGAGGTCACTGAGCTTGGCACACAGCAGGGCCTCTGCAGATCCGTGTCATCTGATACTGATGGCCATTCTGCGTGGGAGCAGCCACACTGGGGTGGAGGTCTCGGGCCTGAAGAGAAGAGGGGCCCTACCCACTCGGTGACTTTACTCATGCTGTCAGCAAGGTTCTCTCTCGTGCAGTCCAAGTTCAACTCCTCCCTGCATTTCAACTTTATTCTTAAAAATTATTTATTTCCGGGCCGGCCGAGTGGCGCGATGGTTAAGAACTCGCTTGGGATGCCAGAGGGCCCCGGTTCGGATCCCACATATGAGGGCCAGTGACACTGCCCTCTACAGCTAAGATGCTGAACAACAGCTCAACCTGGAGCTGGGCTGCCGTGAGTCGCCG